TAAGTTTTGTTTTAAAGTCTTTCCCACCAGAGGGCTAAAACCATGTGTTGTAAAACAATATGAAATAGTACTGAACGCCGGATGTAAAGCATCGGCTTCGATGAAGATAACTTTGTGAGAATTTTTTTGATAATTCGGTGAGAATTCACCCGATTAGCCAGATGATGCTCACTACATGCTCTTGCGCGCCGAATCCTATCAATTAAAAATGAAAACTGTTGCCAACGCGAGAGAAGAAATATCATCGGTTTTATTGATACATACGTACGTGTTAGAGTTAGATAGATTATTAGATAGATAGATAGATTAGCAACTTCGTTTAAAGCTATGTGCACGCTTGTTTTTTTCCTCCTTTTATTAACAACCGTTGTGTTAAAATTAAAACGTTCTATTGCGAACCAATGAATTTCATTTGTAAATGTTTTCTTGCCAAAACAAACCGAACTGCAAGTGTCATACATTTTTTTAAGTTAAAGGAATACAGCGACCAAAAACAGTAAACAATACATTTTGAAACCAAATATAAATTTAAAGAAAATAAATGACAAAATATTAATTTTAAAAATTAATTTCGTTGCTGAAAACTAAAAGACTGTAAAACAAATAAAATAGGTTGTTTTATTTATATAGATGTAATAAGATTTAAGGATAAATTTATTCCTGTATTAAATGTTATTTTTACGTGGAATAATCGAAAAGTTTGAGAAAATTTTCATGAGAAAAGTACGGAAATTTTTATTGAATTGATATCGGATATCACTGACAGACATCACTGATCAAAACATCATTTGACTCAGTGCTTTCATGTCAGCTATCCATTAAGGTTTTACATTAATTGAGAAAATTCGAATTGGGCAAAGATGAAATTTTACTTATAGATGATAAGCTTAAGCAACAATGCATGGGAATTAAGCCTACTAATTTAGATAAATGAGATATCGAATCCTAAATCAAAACAGGAAGTCCAAAGAAATTTGGAAATGCAAAATTATACAGGAAAACTTATACCTAATTTGGGGCACAAAACAGCTAATTTCAGAAATTTAACTAAACATTTTCGGAAAGGCAATGGAATAACGATTATATAAGAAAATTAGAAAATTTGAAATTAATTTCAACACAAAATGCTGTTTCTAAGTTATTTTAATGCAGATAAGGAAAGGAAAATTTCGAGTAATGTTATTCAACACGATTTGGGTTCAGTTTTATTGCAAAAATAAATCGATTCCTGGAAATCTGTAGCATATGCATCTTGATAATTAACTAGTACAGAAAGAAACTATAGTCATAGAGATAAAGAAGCTCTGTGACTAGCATTCGAGTGTGAAAAATTTAATGACTTTGTGAATGGAAGAAAGATGAAATTAGAAATGGATCATCGTCCGTTAATTCACTAAGCAAAAGATGTTTAGCCGACATTCCTATAAAATTTCAAAGGCTTTTTATTCTTTTATTTAAATATCAATTAGATCTGGAAGCGGGTATAAATTGATAATTGCAAATAAATTGTCGAGGGTTTTTTGCAAGGACCTAAAAGATCTGAAATTGAAGAAGATCCAGGACTAGCATTTGCGTATGAAAGATTTAATGACTTTGTACGTGAAAAAATAATATTAGAAATGGATCATCATTCGTTAATTTCACTTAGCAGAATTTGTTTCGTCGATATTCCTATAAGAGTACAAAGGCTTTTCTTTCGTTGAATGTTAATTCGTTAATTATTAAAATGTTAATTCGTTTTGAAATATGTAAGCGAGAAGAACTAGATAATTTCAGATACATTGTCGAGGACTTTAAACTAGGACCTAAAAAATATAAAATTGAAGAAACTTCACAAATACATGTTGATACACTACTAAAAACGCTCAACATTCCGAAATGTTGCAGAAGTTCAAAGATGAAACTTCGAAGATTCGGAGCTTCAGAAAGTTAAGAACATCAAATTGAAGACGGATGAACAAACAAATCGAAAATACTTACCTATCAACCATACAAGGAAGATTTAACTAAAATTCATGGTCTAATCATGAAAAGAAACAGGATTGTTGTACCAAAATCGACGAAAAAAGTATGTAGGATATAAGGAAAGTGAAAAAAATGAAAGAAGAGGTAGAAATAAATATATTGACCAAACATGAATATGGAAATTGAAAGAAAAGATTAAGAAATGTAAATGTGAAACTTGTCAAAAATTCTAATACAGACAACAAGCAGAACCTCTCATCTAAAGACAAAGTGCTAAAATCGATATATTTTATTTCAATGGAAAATATTAATTAATTGCTCAGGATTTAATTCCAATTATCCAGAAGTTAAAAACTTATCAACTTATGTCCCAATCAAAACTTGGAAAAATATTTTTGCTAGACATGGGATCCCTAGGATGTTATAAGTGACAATGGTATATACTTAAAAAGAGCTTAACAATTTGGTTAAATTTTGCTGACCACATCTTCAAACTGACCACATCTGGTCTACATTTTAAAGGTCGAATAGACTTCAGAAAAAGAAGTTCATATTGTTAAAAGACTGCTGAAAAAATCCAAAGAATAGGGAAAAGATTTTCATTTTGCATTATTAAATTATAGAGCAAACGCAATGCAAATGAACCCGCTGAACTTTCTGATAAACAGAAACTCAAAAACAAGATTTCCTGCGTACTCAAGTCAGAAGGAAGATCATCCAAGGAAAAGCAACGAGACTTGTAATTAAAAATAACATTTTCAGAATTCGAGATAGAAATAAATGGCCGATTAAAGTCACGAAGAATGTAGCTCCTACATTATGTGAACTCCTTATCGAAAGCAACAAGTCTCTGAGAAGAAATCGCCAACACCTTATCAAAGTAGAAGGCCAACTTCATATCCCAGATAATGAAGAGTAAGAACAATAATCAACCAATAATAATCCTAGTCAAAAGACATTTAATCCAGATCTAAAAAAAAATTATCGACTACTCATGATCGATTTAACTGTAAAGTAACTCTATCAATACCTACTAATACTGTTTATAGAAAAGGTGAGTAACAACTTTTCTTATACTACGTTTAAGCTTTGCTCTGACGCTCTAATTACAAAAAAAAATATTAGTATTTTTTAACTACAAAAAACAGTCTAATAGTTACTAAAAATATCTTTTAGATTATCGGAATTATATTTGTACTGAAATATGGAATTCAAAAAAAGCAGATTGAAAAAAAAACATTTTTCATTTATACTATTTAAAAGTAATTGATTTTGTAAATTAAAGAAATGTTAATAAGGAGTAATTGTTTCGTATGCATCTAAGAAACTGCAAATATGTGAAAATTTGAAACTTTATTTTCTTGAAAGATTTTTCTTTCAAACAGAAAAACACACCGGTGTTTCTTACTGTATTATATAAATAAAATTATTAAAATAATAAATTTAATATTTTTCACTTATTTTAACCCATATCAATAATGAATAAATATTAAAAATATGTTTTATAAAAAATTCTGCGTCAAAGAGTTAAGTAGATCGATTTGAGTCAGAAAACCACCTGATTTTTGCAAAGTCAAGATTATTCACCCCTTTAAAAATCAAAGCCCACGATCAAATAACTAATCTTGACATCGATAGGAAGACAGCCACTACTCTCATCAGACTAAGAACAAAACATCATAAAAACATGAAAATTTCTACAGATAAGACTAGAAAATATCAAAACTGTGGCAACTGTCTTAATGTGGAACTGACACCATATCATGTTTTTAACTGCCCTGCAGTCGCTGCAGGCCTTCACCTCTTAAACTACCCCACAGAGGAGGATTTGTATTCATTTAATGCCATAGAAATAACAAAAACTATTCAAGCACACCATGAAATATAATTCAATAGAGGATACGACACCAACCAACTAACCACCTGATAGACCGAAGTAGACACATTTCTAAAATAAACATTCTGCAATCATTTCCAAACAAGACATTTTATTATATGGAACTCTGAATTGGAAACATTTACTATCTTAAAGACTTTAAATTTTATAATGAATTTTTTAAAATTGTTGTGACTGATATAATGTTTAAAAAGGATTTGTATTAATATCAGAATACCCGACAGGTGTTGCTGACGAAAGCATCACTTGATTAAAGCCATCATGTTATCGTGCTATATTAAAAATGGGATATAATTACATTTAAAGTAGCAGTGGTTCCCAAATAATGCTCAGTGGAACCCTAGGGCTCAGTGTTTTTAACTCACAATTTTTTTTTTAAATCTGTATTTATAATTAAATCTAATTAATAATCTATTATTTAATATTTCGGTTCTCTTTATTAAATTAAAGTAAATTGACAATAAAAAGGAAATAAATTCTTTTAAATTATTATTTTCTAACAGCAATATCTTGAACAAATTATAGAAAAGGATTTGCACTTATTAAAAACTGCATTAGTATTTCCCATCGTGCTTTCCAAATCAAAATAAAATAACAACATTGGTTAATACCGAAATATGCTTCCCAGCGTAATAGTTCATTTACCTTTCATTTCAACAAAAACCATAACACGACTTATTTATTTAATTATCAACTTATTTATTTTCACCAAAAATACATTTAAAATCACATTAGTGCTCCAGGAAGGCGAATGCAACTGTCGAATATAAAACTTAATTTCAAGTAATGAACAAAACTATGAAAAAATTTCCTTCTTTTAAATATTTTTAAACCCAAGTAATCCTTTACTGGTTGATATGCACGTAATTGTTTTTATATACTTTATTTTACAATGTTTTTATACACTTTTTTATTTACGAAATCGGGGTTCTGCAAAAAGAAGTTTGATCATTAAGGACTCCATAACCGAAAATAATTTTTGAACCGCTGTAATATAGCACGTCATTGTTAAATCATAACGAAACTAAACAATAGATATATATTAGCTTTTATTTTTAAGACATAATTTTATAGAGTAAAGTTTAAAATTGCATTGAAACAAATACTTATAAACATATCCATTGACAAAAGCACTTACTTTTCCAGAAGGTAAGCCACAAGCTTCCAATGCTTTTTCCACTCTCTTTTTATCATCCTTATGTTGTGCAAACATCTTTAATATACTAGAAATAATAATAAATATTTATTTCATTATGTGCTATGAAATAATACAGGGTGTTATGAATATAATGTGTTATGAAATAACATTCACCAAACACTGCTTCTTATTTATAAATTTTTTTTTATTCTTGTCATAAAGATGTAAAGAAATAATAAAAACACAAATTTTTTGACAAGTGATCAAAAATATGCAATAAGGGAGGTAAAGAGAAACGCTTAAATAAAAAGAACAGCTTAAATAAAAAGAGAAAAAAATTACTAATAAAAACAACTTCCAAATTAGTAATTCGCAGAAACCGATTGGTTTTCACAGTGTTAGAATTTTCCTTCAAAAATTACGGTAAAATAACAGGGAGCAGTCTGTTCATCCAATTAACCATTAAGTTTCAGGTAAAGTAAATTTTCTACGGTTTTAAAGCGTTTACAACTAGTATTGTAATAAAATCATGAACGCAAAACTACACGGTTCTTTAACAATCTATAAAGCTAGCATTGCTTCAAAAAAAATATTTAGCTGAACAAAGGAGCAAGGCTTTTCCTTAGGTAAAGGACTTAACAACCTTATGGAATGGTGTGAATGACAGCATGGTATTCTAATAGCCCAGGGTCAAAAATTGGGGAGTGTAGGACACGGAAATCTCTTCTAGTCTTGAAGAAAATGGTGGAAATATTACGGTGTCAACGATTGGACTCGAATCCCAGATCTGTCGGTCGTGAGTTGGACAGATAAACCTTCTTTATGTATAATATGTACACAGTTGTAAGGTATTAAGTGGCTTTATTAGGTGGGATAAGGTGGTATGATGAAACTCTGGTTGTTTCAACGTAATGGGTAAAAGCAGTTAATTAACGTTTTTCTTACAGTTAATCGTTTGATTATAAACCTATTTATGATCAGTTGACTGTTTTGCTTGAATATGGTGAAATAACAATTAAATATATTGTTATTTAACCATTTCTGCGAGAAATTTCGAATGGTGCATTTTAAATAATTTTTAACAAAGGATATTTTATTTATTAAACAAAAATTGAAAATCTAACTACTAACCTCGATTAATGATTATTCGCATATGAAATATAATGCGTCTCTATCATTAATTGTTACATTATATTTAGACAGTATTCGAAAAAACGATAAATACATTCAAAATAATATGAATTTTGAATGTTTAAATGTGAGTTGCAAATTAAAAAGCAGATTAGACATAGGCTATTTATGTGATTGCTTTATAATTTTCATTTTCTAATAAAAACTAGGTCGGTGTCGCTCTTTATTTTAATTCATTAAATATGAAATTACTTCTAATCTAAATATCTGTTATCGTAATAACTGAATAATAATTTAATAGCTAGTTTTAGAATATTACCTAAAATTTGAATGGTGACTAAATATACTGAAGGTAGCATTTTAAGGATGTAAAGAATTTATTTTGAATATATATGCTTATAATAGCATTCTGTCTTAAGTAAAAGTATGTTACCTAACACATTAATGACATAACGTAACAAAATAGATAAAAAAAAACGAAATAAAATAGGAAGTAAAACATAAAAAAGTAGGAATAGCAAGATAGGAAGATTGGTATTTTAGCAAATAATTGTAATATGGAAATTTTTTTATCCTAAATCAGTAAAATGTTAACTTCAATGAATCAATGAGTAAAATTCTAAAACAGCTAAAAGCACTGTCAAAACTAAAAACCAATTTATGCTAAATTAACTGTTTAATAACGTGGCTTGAAAAACGGTGACGAACGATAATTTCAGACCATTTTTTCCCTCTAATTTTATGACTTGATCATTTCTTTCAGTTAAAAAAAAAAGTCAAAATAATTTCAAGCGAAAATAGATTTTATTTATTAATGGAAAAGCGAAATTGAATTAAAAAATTAGAATAAAAGAACAACAAATTGGAAATCGTGATTTTTATTTTATTTCATTTTACTTAAACACAAAATAAAACATTTAAATTAATTCGATTATAAAAAAATTGATTAAAACCGAAAGATTTTTAATTACTTTTTCACAACCGAATGAATAAAATATTTGAGTAATCTGTTACAATAGAGAATATTTTATATAAAAAAAAAATGCAGTTTCTTCTTCTCCATTTTCGGAAAGAAGAATTCTCAGATTAAGGAAATCAGAAGAAAGATGAAAGAAAGGGAAAAAAAAACTTTCCACCGTGACTGGTATAAAGGATATATTGAACAAGTGCTCTAGCTGTAAAGTGGTTGCACTTATCACCCGATCTTCAGCGTAAATCCCGCTTTGTTCGCTCACAAGCAAATTCGCGATTTACGAATCCGAAGAAAAGTTCCCAGGAGATGGGAACTCTCCTCACCGGAAATGGATTTATCACTGAAATTCTCAAACATATAACATTCGCCATTTTTTACCATAATCTAATAATTTGTTTTATCCTACATTGCATAATATTATTATTTTGTTCCACAGATTTATTAAAAATCACATTAAAACACTAAGCAGAAATTATTTGATATAAACATATTTATTCACCTACTAGAAACGCATTTATTTATTTATCTGCTAAAATGAATCATATGATTTCTAGATGACAGTGACTGAACATGTTCTTAAAAAATTATGATATTTTGTGCTGCACAAGTATACAGGATGTATCAAGAATATATATTTTTTGTTCTTTTATTTATTTATTATTTGTTTTTTGAAATGCAAAGTTTCAAGTTGTAGTCACATTGTAGTCATATATTTATCAAAAATATTTTGGTGTTTAGAATAGGCCTAAAAGTTCTTCTTTTTTATACCTATAATGCAAGATTTGAATTTTTTAAAGCAAAAAAAATTAAATATATTTTACTTTTTTCAATTTAAAAATGGAAAACTTAAAGCGTAAAGCAACAGTAAAAAAATTATATATATATGAAATGCAACTTTTAAATCTTTCAAAAACTTTATGAAAAACTTTATTTTCAGTCACTAAAAAGCATAATTTTAAATTTTCAACCGGTACTGAGGTTTAGTCAGCTATGTAAATTCTGCGTTAGATCCATATTTTTATAGGGATTTCTGGTGACTCAAATTTTACACCTCATTAATATATATTTTTTAAAGTACTCATATTCTCAACTTCAGATTTTTTGAATTTGAAATTTGCTCTATAATAATAAAAAAAATTTACATTTTTAAACTGTGAAATTGAAATTTTAGGCCCATTCCGGGAGCTCTCATTTTTTTTCAATTTGATTAAAAATGAAATTTTGTATTTCAATAAACGTTTATTTTTTTATACGTTCTAATACATACACGAAGCACAAAATATCTGAATGTTTCTAAAGCATGTTCAGTCAGCCGAAAAATTAACGTGTTTTTAATATGCTCTCAAACCTTTTTCTGTGATATAATTAAAATATGTTTTAACTATGAGATATAACTACTAAACTATGCTATGCAATATAACTTTCTTTCTGGAATAGAGTTTTAAAATAAATGAATAAAAAAAACCGTGGCTTGACAGCCCAAGGAGGGCCAGACCTACTTCACCCAGCCCAATTTTCTTGACTTTGGGCACTCGAGTGCAAGAGCAGCTGTTCCAGTAGGGTGGTAAAAGGAACGTGGAACCCCAGTGTTTAGTTCCCAATATTGTTTGGCACTCATTTGATCGACCTACTGAAGTGATAAAAAGCTTTAGTCACTCTTCCTAATGCAAGAATTCTTTACAGAAATTTAAGGTACATATGAGGTCGATTTGAGGTTTATTCGAAGTTCATTGCCAACGTTAAAAGATCAACCTCCCAAGGTGTATAATCAAGGTATAAGAAGTAGTTTTATTCCCACTTGAGGTTGATGGAATTCTACTGTAGAGAAACAGAGTTTAGCGAGATTGTTTTTGAGGTGTATGAATTATTTTTTCCACTTTTCAAGCAAACACGTATATTTGAGGTGAGAATACTTTCCCCTGATCTAAACTAAATTATTTCTGAGTTATACATGAGGTTCATTTTGTGAGGTGTAAATGATGTTGAAATTGAGGCTTATTAAAGGGTATTTTTCGTTCAAAACATAACCTTTTTTTCAACCTAGGGTGCATTTTGCTACATCTGTCAACCTCAAAACGCCTTATTTTTTGTAAGGAATAGAACCCCGGACCTGTCCCTCGGGAGCGCTACCACTCAGCCACTTGGTTTTATTCTTTTTAGAATAATTCACGGATTCTAAAATTTTTGTTACACTATATTAGTTCAAAATTAATCAAAAAAGGAATCGCTGCATTATATATTTAAAGTAAAATTATTAAATCAAATTTTAATTGTGGTTTGCTCCAAGAAATTTTCTAGACTTCTAATAAAAAGCAGCAAACACAACTCTTGCCCTGTAGAAATACTTGAAATATATCTGCGATGTAGTTGAAATATTTCAGACTATAAATGAAAAGTTGTAATAACAGCAGCAAATAAGCTGGGTTTTTTTGTTGTTGTAGACATGAAAAAACTCTCGTGCACTGCAAAAATTACGCCTCATCTTTTTTAGTGTATTAATATTAATTTGAGTCTTTAGCACCAAATATATTAAGGAATGGTAAAATGTATATAAAAACACAGGTAATGATCTTGTATAAATCTTAAATGATTTATCACCTATTCAAAATTATAATTAAAAAATGTACACGAAAAAACTATATAACATTATATAAACATTTTAACTATATAAACTGTATATACTATATAAAAACTATATAAACTATCTATAAGCATTTCTTCTTTTTAATATTTGGAAAATTATAAAACTTTCCATTCTTATTTTTTTATTTTTTTTATTTAAAAGCATTTAGTTCTTGGTTATATTTTTATGTAATCTTATAATCATGATCTTTAACAATTAAAGGGGTAAATTGATTTGCAGTAATGGTTACTAAAAGTTGTTGCAATTATGACTTATTTACGCCCGCACTAGATCTGCACAATGGGCTATTGGCGACGGTCAAGGAAACATCCTTGATGAAGATCCTTGATTGCTTGAG